AATTGGTTAAATAATGGTGATGCTAACACCAAATTTTTCCACCTAACAACTTTAAATCGACGAAGACATAATCGTATAACTGCTCTTCAAGTCTTAGGAGGAAATTGGCTTACTGACCCTCAAATAATTAGAGATGATATTACTCAATACTACCATCATCTCTTTACTACTCAAAAAACAAAATCTACTAATTCCTCTTTTGTACATCCTTTTAATATATTAACATCAAATGAGCAATCTTGTTTAATAGCTCCATTACAAGATTATGAAATTCTAACTGCCATATATTCCTTTCAACCTCTTAAGGCACCTGGACCAGATAGTCTACATCCTTTATTTTAACAAAAATATTGGCATATCATAGGAAATTCTGTCAAATATTTTTGTCATAAGGTTTTCTTGGACCATCAAATTGATCCCACTATAAATACAACCTTTATTTGCTTAATTCCAAAAAAATAAGAATGCATCCACTATACCGCAATTCTGACCTATTAGCCTTTGCAATACAATCTATAAGATTATAACAAAAATTATTGTTAATAGATTAAAACCAGTTCTGGAACATCTTATCCATCCAACTCAATCCAGTTTCCAGAAAATTAGACGAGCAGCTGACAATGCTATTATCGTACAAGAAATTATCTCTAGGTTCCATCGAATGAAGGGTAAAACTTCTAATATGCTTCTTAAGTTGGATCTTGAAAAGTCTTTTGATAAGCTGGAATGGTCTTTCATTTACAATAAATTACACAATCTAAATTTTCCTCCAACTTTTGTTCAAGTAATAATGTCTTGCATTACAACTACTACTACAGCTATTCTAATTAATGGTAACCTACTGATTATTTTACACCTACACGGGGTATTAGACAAGGGGATCCTCTATCACCTTATATTTTTATTTTATGTCTGGGGATGCTGTCAAGAAAAATAAATTCTGAAGTTGATTATAACATTTGGCATCCAATTTCAATAGGTAGAAGAGGACCTCAATTATCACATCTATTCTTCGCAGATGATATTATTTTGATCTCAAAAATTACACCTACATCATGTCAATCCATAGCTAACACCATCAATCAATTTACTCATCATTCTGGGCAAACTATTAACTTTACCAGAAGGTAACCAAACAATGGAAAACCTGATTTGAGAGTTGTTCTAATGAATTTTCTCCTGGTGTGCTATTTCCTCGAGAATGTAAAAAAATTTAGCTTCTTATCGGTGGAACAACTTAGATAAAGTTCGAACAATTTTTAAAAAAATTTCCACTGCTACCAATATAAACTCAAGATACCATTAATGAAGAAAACATGAAATTATTAGCATCAGAAATTAGTCAGATGGACACAAATAAAGAGACCCATACCCATTCACGAAAGGTTACCCCCTTTGTAATTAAAATTTTAACTAAATAGCACTGATAAAGGAAGAAGCAAAGCAAAGAAAAAGAAAAGGAAGTACAGTGAAAATCTCAGCAGAAGTATTGTTATTGAGAAAAAAATAACTTGCGAAGATAATCGACAACTGAAGGAGAATACAGACCTCGGTAAAAATACTGATATTGACAAAACAAAAACCCACGAAGTCGACAGGTATCTGAGATAGAAGAAGGTCAGGGGAACAGATGATGGAGCAGAGTAAAGCCAGATGAAATTCCATGGAAAAGAAGGAGAAGTATCTGTAGATGCATTCTCATCTCATATGCAGCTTACTCATCAAAGTTCAGCGCACGTGTAAGCGCAGGAGAACACTTTCCGTGTGGTATTCGATTCACCTTGCCTTTTCCTCCTTTTTTCTGTTTAATTTTTTGTTTTATGATATACTGGATTTTTGCTATTAAAAATTCAATTCTACAGCCTTGGAAGTAAATTGTTTTTTCATAGAAGAATATGGTTAAGAGGTCAGGACAGAGACACATCCTATTTTAATTCTTTTTTGCCAATCTAGGAACATATAAAAAGTTCGCAATCTTCAAACTCCTCTGCGACTGCAACCCTTTCTCTCCTTGCTCTTCTTGTTGTTAGCTTTACCCTTTGGTGAATTTATCGTTTGGATTTTCTTATCTTGTGTTTCTCTCCGCCATCATGGGATGCTAGGCCTTTGCTACACAGGAAGTTTAATTGTCGAGCTGTGTTTGCTCTTACTGAGGAAATTCTTGAGTCAGTCAGAGTTTTTACTAAACGTTTACCATTTTTCTTTCAATTTAATTTCTTGCTCCGCTTGGGAGGAGAAGAGGCTGCTCCTTTTGATTTGAGTAACCTATGTGCGATGACAAAACTTAACTTGGTGGATAATATATATATATATATATATATATATATATATATATATATATATATAAGAGATATTTTAATATATATACAAGGTTCGGGCCAAAGTCACTAGGTTCGACCGAATCCATAGCTTATATCCTGCCCTGCCCTCGAGATCTCACAATGCATTTAAAGAGAACCAAGTTTTGTATCATTTTCATTAGTTAGAAGCTACATAAGTTAATTTAAAGTCCAATATTGCAAGCAGACAAATCATGAAGGAATTACAAATACACATAATTAAGCACTAGAACATGACTTTCTAGCAGAAAGCATTAATTCCTGAGTATAATCAGAAACAGAATGCCTTTTAAAGCAATTAGTTTCATGTTTTATTTTATCACTTTCTTCTATCCATTTCTTGAACTTCTGTATTGATTTCTCCTTTTGGAATGATCATTTGAATGAATGACCTCCATTAGTATGGGAATTTAAGCAAGTTTCTCCCACTAATAAATTCCTCATGATTAAGTCATTTACTTATGGATAAATTCTGTGACAATTTCTGTTCTGTATCAAGTTTTACTGGATCATAGAGCTTAGCATTTCAAGACTGAGTTTGATGAGGTTGATAGGTTCCTCCCTTAATAGATACCGACGGAATTTTCTATGGGGTACTACTCCTCAAAGAAAAAAATTACATCTGATTAAATGGTCCATGGTTACACAACCTTTAGAGCAAGGGGGATTAGGCATCCAAAATCTTAGTATCAAAAATCAAGCTTTGCATGCTAGTCTTGCATGGAGGCTTTTTCAAAACCCTACTCAGCTGTAGGCACAAGTATTACTGCATAGTTATCTAAGGCCATCTAAATTAATCAAAAAGAATGTTTCAAAAACTTGGTTAAACATTCTTAAGGGTTGGTCCAATTGTCGTTTAGGTTATAAATGGAACCTGACTAATGGACAACACGTACATTTCTGGACTGAACCATGGATAGCTCATAATTCTCTGTTTCGTAATTATATATATGGACCCCTACCCCAAGGTGAGGACAACAAACTAGTGTCTGCTTGCTATTTTCATCACAAGTGGCACCTACATCAATTTCCATTCGTATTACCTCCTTCTTTACAACTTACAATCACTGATATTTATATGCCAATGGTGCCCTTCACTTGTGACCAACTTTATTGGGCAATTACACCGGATGGGTTGTTCTCTGTTAAATCTATGTATTATACTCTAGCAAATGAACTCAATCAACCAATAACAAATGAGTTCATAAACTACAAATGGATTCGGAAACTTAGAATACCACCCAAGTTTTCTTTCTTTTTATGGTTAATATGCCATAAAAGACTTCCTACAGCTGCATATTTACATAAGTTACAAATTATAAATTCATCTTTGTGTTCACAATGTCACTTGGTCCCTGAGACTATAAACCATATTTTCCTGGAATGTCATAATGCTACTGCACTTTGGGCTGCTCTTAATATAACTACTACACATATAGTTGGTCCAACACCTACTAATCGTACATCTTGGTGGCACAATTTTATACATAAGCAACATTTGCCGTCATTTAACCACATTCCATTTTCCATAATCTTGCCTTTTGCATTATGGCAGTTATGGTCTATAAGAAATACAAACTACTTTGATCATCAACATCTTAAATCCAGTATTTCTCTGCTATACAAACAGGCTGCTGAATTTTATTACCTCACAAATCATACAAAAAGAAATACTTCTTTATTGTCTCTCTATATAAAATGGCATCCACCAGATGGCCAGTTTTTTAAGTTAAACATTGACGGTTCGACATCTACCACTCAAAACAAATGTGGTATTGGTGGGTGTTTTCGAAATCAACAGTGCAAATGGATTATAGGTTTTGCAGGAAGAGCACAACATGGCTCCAGTGTTCAGACAGAATTGCTGGCGCTTATCATAGGGCTAAGAATAGCTATTCAGCACCAACTCACACCACTGATCATCGAAACAGATGCAACTGCAATACTTGGTATGATTACTACGCCTATTATACAATATACTAATTTAATCAATGATTGCAGGTTATTACTCTATCAGCTGGATGATCCAAAAATACAAAGTATCTTCAGAGAACAAAACTATGTTGCAGACTGTCTAGCTAAATATGGAGCAGTGCATGTGGAGGCTAGTTGTGTACTTTTTGCAAGTCCTCCTACTTTTGTTACCCCTTTTTACCAGCATGATCAGGAAGGAATGCTAAGAAGAAGACTACTTAAATCAAGCACTATGTTGATTAATAGTAGTGACAGTAGTAGTAATGTATCTAGTAGTAATAGTAATGTAGTAGCTAATCTAAGTTCTCTATATGTCCATCGTTTCCATAAGGGGGACATAGTAGCTAGTTCTAGTTCACAGTAGCAGTAATAGTGATGTAGTAGCTAATCTAAGTTCTCTATATGTCCATCTTTTCCATAAGGGGGACATAGTAGCTAGTTCTAGTTCTCCTCAATTGATGCAATGTATGCATCCTACAAACTCTTATGTACGTGTTTAACTATCTATAATATGCTTATCTTTTCAACCAAAAAAAAAATTCTGTGTTTAGAGCATATTATTTCTCTGTGTAGTGCGTTTTTAACACATATATATAAGGTATGAGCTTAAGCTACTGAGTTCTGTTGAATTTGCGAATTATATTGTAGATCCTTCTAGTTCAAGGTAGAGCAATTTTAGACCTCGCGTGGCCATAAATAATTATAATATTTGCAAATGATAATGTTGAGTATATTCAGATAGAAGAAATTAGTAAAAGATCATAGTTACAAGCACGTCAGGAAAAATCTAAGAACGGGTGAAAACAGAGGGGAAAAAAGTTGGCGAAAAATTTCTTCAAGTTTTGAAGTTGTGTTTGTTTTATAATTGTTAAATCTAACAAATACAACTTGTTGAAGAATTTTATTGCCAAAATCTTTTTCACCCTGTTTCCGAAACAAATTTAACATGATCCCTATTGAATGACGAGTTGGCCTGAAGGTTGTAGAGGCGAAATTGGAGAGGCGTCAGAATCATCTCTCCATTCATCCTGAACTTGAGCTGCAAACTGCAAATTCCAGAGAACATCCTCCATCGAAGGCCTGCCCACTGGATCTTCGTACAAACACCTGCAGCAGATCTCTATCATCGTCTTCAATGATTCATCCGAGCATGAACTTCTTATTGCTGGATCAACCACATTCCTTCTTGATGCTTCATTGCCCATTATGCTTACTTGCAACTATACAATATAACAAGACAAAATGAGTGCACCACCAAAAGGCTTACATTTTTTATTTATGAAGCCATATCATCTTCAATGAGTAACAGAGAAATGTCCCTCATTCCCTCATTGGTAGTTCAAAATGAAAATCTGAAATGAAAAAGAGCCAGATGATCAAGTGTTAGTCATACCTTATTATGTAGAACTAGAATATCATTTCTGGTATTTATCTGCCTTCCTGTTATGATTTCCAGCAGTATAACTCCAAAGTCATACACATCCAACTTCTCTTCATATTTTTCCCTATAAATCAATATAGGTAAGAGTAAAACAAAGTGTAAGTATGTCCGTGCTTACAGCTTATTTACATTCAATAATACAATATATTCTGAACAAAGTGGAAATGCCTGTCAATATTTATATTACTAAGCTAAGCAACTAAATTAATAAGTTTTGAAATGTCAAAGATTGATTTCAAAGCGGTAAGCTTTATAATCAAATTAAGTGTCTAAAGGCTATGCCGAAACACTAGGATTTCAAAATTAACTGCTTTAGCTATTTGAATACCATATTTCTTCCTTGGTTTACGACTTTGTGTGCATAAGTTATTCTTTCTAAGAGGTTCATGTGAAAAATTGAACCAGAGCTGAAATCAGTTCCACTGTATAATAGACATGAAAACCACAAAACTTAGGTGATTTTGTTGTTTAAACTATGCTGCTCCAATTTGACAGTAATTTGTACACACCTCTCCTTATAACCAGCTGGAAAAGTGTGACAGTATTCCTGCAAATATGCACAGTAGTGGCATAAGTTAATATTGCGGCAATATATAAACTTCTTTTGTAAGTGTGAGTGGAAGAATTAACATAGAACTTTGGGAAGTTGGTCATCACACCTTTCCTGCGTTCTCCGACAGAATAGGCAAATTGTAGCTGCTGATTTTGGCAACAAGGTTCTGATCCAACATGATATCTGTTATTTTCAAGTTATTTGAAAAGATACCAGGGACAATTCCATTATGCAAGAACTGTAGGCCCTTTGCTACCCCAGTTGCAGCTGCTATACGTTGTGTCCAAGTTAGTTTCCGTCTTCCATGTCTATCTGCAAATAGGACAGTGAGGAACAAAGAGCATCAAATTTCCAAATCTATATAATCCAGCTAAGCATTTACATTAATCACATTACATCCAACAGTATAGAAGTGTAGATGGTTGTTAAGTAATTACCAGAAATCCAGCTCCTTAGGGTCCCATTAGGTACGTACTCAAAGACGAGAAATATCCTGCTAACACTTGAATCATCCAAGTAACACTCAAAGCAGTGTCCAAGAGCACTGACCAAATGACAATATCTGAGCTTGGATATCAACTCTAAGTGATGCATAAAATTTTGAGTAGTGTTGCTTCTTTTCATTTTCAGGCATCTAATCGTAACATTTGAACCATCTCTCATCTGGCCTCTGTACATCTGAATCCAAAGCAGAGTAAGTTTGTGAACCCTGATAGGGGTATGAATACATGGAATTCTAGTTGGTTTTTGGTTTATTTTGAATGATCCATACAGAGTACTTATATCCATATGCCATTACCATTTGACACGCTTATGTCTATACAAATTACTAAACCATTTTGCATGGTCAGCAACTAGCTCAGCAGCTAAGTGTGGAATAATATTTTACTAGGATAAAGATATTAACAGAATCTATTGAAAATTCTAAAGCAATAAGAGGCGGGGTCAAAAACATCAAGAGTTAAACTCATTCTTTTGTGCCAAAACGACAAAGGACGAATGGATGAAACTACTACAAGTCAGCACCAACTCTCTAGTATAACACTCAAAGACCTCAATGCTACAGCACGAAAGAAGGATGGAAGTAATCAGTCACTACATATATATATATATACCTGGCCATTAGACATTTCACCCATAAAAGTTGCTGTATCAAAGTTGTTCGTAGCCACCTCAAGCTCTTCTAACGAGAAGGTCCGATAAGATGGAAGACTGAGTGCTCCTAGCTTCATTGCTTGAGTAATGTATCCTTATACAAGAAATACCGAGGAATCAAGTTAGCTATACTCAGGAATTAAAGGAAATCAAAGAGAGCGAGGGAATTTTTCTTTTCTTCCTTTATGTATATAGGAGACAGGGTGCAAATATACCTAAGCTTCAAGCTTGAACAGGAACTTGGTTATTGGGGCAAAGGGTCTGTAATTCAGAATCTCTCAAGACTATAAACTTAAGAAGATTCGACCAAAACGTTCATAATTTCCTAATTAGCTAAAAATGAGAATATTTTAGCTTCCAACTTCTCTATCTGTGTTGGTAACAAAGAATGTAAAGGACTAACACCTCCCACCGATCGATACAGGAAGTTGAAAGAAGGTGTAATTTGTTTCAAAGTATATGAAATACAAAGAATATGGGTAGAAACAGAAGAGAGGAACCTTACTTGCATCTGTATACAACTTTGAGGTATATGAAGATGATGCATCTTCTGAAATGAATCTGGATTGGGTTTTCTGGGCAGCCTTCTTTGCAAGAAAAGATTTGACAATCAAGATGGTCAGGCATACTAGTATGACTCCGCCGATGATGCTACCACAAATTATCAAGGCAAGAACCACATTAGAAGCAGGTTTTTGTCTTTGATGATGAGGTAAGACGCCAACAGCCAAAGCCTCGTTTCGACAAAAAGAAAATGGATGTTGAGTTTTGTCTCCGGGTGCCAAACAGTTATTAGAGAAATGCACAATCCTATTCCTCGAACTAGAGAGAAGGCAACTAGGTAATGTTCCAGTCAACAGATTAGCAGACAGATCAACAAAGTCTAATGCAGCGTTGCATGGATTATCTTCAAAAAGCATTCCTGTCAACTTGTTTCCTGCAACATCCAGGTAAGTTATGGATGGTAAAGATAGCAAGAATGGAGGAAATGGCCCCACAAATCTGTTTGAAGAAATATCAAAATGTTCAAGCTGATGATAGGACTGAACTTTCTCTGGAATGCTTGCAGTGAACTTATTATTCCTCAGTGCAATGCTTTCTATTTTGCTTCCAACTTGAGGAAATCTCGGTCCAAAAGAGTTGTCCTCTAATTCTAAAACTTGAAGGTTTCCTAAACTGCTAAGATCAGGCATATCCCCACTAAAATTATTCCTTGAAAGTGAAAGTATCCGAAGATTTTTCATATCTCGCAGTGTATCTGGCAAAGGTCCATCTAATGAATTGTTCTTCAGACTCAAAACTGCCAAAACCGAAAGCAAACCAATTCCATCCGGAATTCTGCCAGTCAACCTATTTCCATTGAGCAGTAAGGTTTGGAGGTCCGTTAACGATGAAATTGTTTTGGGTATGCCACTGTGAAAGTAATTTGAGCTTAAATCAAGTATCTCTAGTGCTGACAGTCTTGAAAGTTTTCCAGGCAAGCGCCCCCATAAACCAAGAGAAACTAATCTAAGGACCTTCAAGCTAGGAAGCTTGACAAGGGCAGTGAAAAATGAACCAACGGAGAAGTTTCCGGGTAAAGGGGAAGCTCCCTTTATCCCTATTATGTGCAACTGAGTTATGCTTTCTTCATAGCACACAACAGTGACAGCTGAAGTTGGCTCAATCTTACAGAAATCAGTGTCATTGTTCCAACTATTCAAAGCTGTTGGATAGTTCAAAAGACGCCGAATTCTGAGAAGGCTTTTCACTTGAGAAGATTGTAATTGCTCTGAATAGCTGATCGAGATTACTACCAAAAACAAAACCAGAAGCTTTTCAAGTCCCAAATCTTTTTCCATCAGCACAAAACTGGCTCAACAACTCTTTTAACACTGAGAATTTTCTGGAGAACACTGCAATTGCATCACAACTCAGTAATCCAACAAATCAAACTCTGCATCCATAGAATTTGAAAAGAAAAAGGGAGGAGGTTACAATGTTAAGATTAAGCAACTTAATAGTAACAATAACTCAAATCCTGCAAAGTCACTTCAGAAAGTAGAATGAAAATGTAAGTGGCAAAAAAAGAAAAGATTCCCCCCCCCCCCCAAACCCCCCCTGCATAAAGAGGGAAAACTTAGAGATATTTCTTCAGCTATTGATCCAAAGTGCAACATTAAGGAATAAGGTGCAACATATGACATGAAAATAGTGAGATAATCATCCCAAATTGAAAAAGAAAATAATGAATGAATGTTGCAATGATTTTGCATTTACTTGTATAATCAGACACATAACTGCATAAAGTATAAATACAACCATCTCTGCGTTTAGCGTATAGTAATGGAGGCTTTACCTGTTTTACAGAAGAACTTTGAGGAACTTCAAGGATCCATGGTAACCTTCAAATGAAGTAAACACCAACTTTTCATCACAGAAAAATTCATAGGCTTACACCGACTAATCTTCTTCAAACAATGACCAATATATTTATGTAGTTAGTTCTTTTCATTTTTATCGAGAATAAAGTATTGCAAAATAGAATATTGATAGCTTTATGGAAGGGAAACACCCTGAATCTTGACTAAAGATATGAAAGCAGAAAAGAAATGTCAGTTGTATTATAATTACCAATAAAATCAGAGCTCAAAGACCAAGAAAGTTCGTTAAAAGCCATCCTCTTGCCCACACTTAACTTCTTTTGGTTAAGGGCGTAGCAATGTTTTTAAAAATGATTATCTTATAAATATTGGGGCAAATCTACAAGGAAGTAGTTTTTCAATTCTGATTCTTTGTAATTATACGTATTGCAAGTTCCATAACATAGAAATTAATTTTCTATTGTTCCATACGATTTTAAAGTAAGTCTTTTACTTGATAAAACAAAACAATGGACACTTGTCACGATCCAAAATTTCACCGTAAGGGTCGTGATGACACATAATACCTAAGACTAGGTAAGCCTATCACATGACGAGATCAACCGAATATAACAACTCAAATATTAAATAAAAGCTGAGAGATGCCATAACATAGCCAAAACGAGAATACAATAGTCAATCCCAAAACCGGGTAATACCGAGTCATAACCTTTACAAGGAATACATAATAAGTCTACATCACTATTTGGTACACATAAATAGTAGAAAAAGAAATAAAGGAGGCTGACTTCGAGGCCTACGAGCGGAACAATATGTATACCTTGAAGTCTCCAACAACTCTGGCTCAACTCTCTAATGACCAGAACGATCCGAGGTACCTAGATCTGCACAAAAAAATATGCAGAAGCTTAGTATGAGGAGACAACTGTTACGACCCATATTCGCGTAGCCGTAAGTTAGTAGACGTAAATCTGAGAAGAGATAATCTTTGAGATGATAAGAAGTTAATCCTATTGGTCTTAAATGATACAAGGGTCTACCAGAGTGGTTAACAAGTATTAGAAGTTAAACGAATCAAGGATGTTGTAACCCGTATTTTCGTGTAAAACTAGAGGTGCTTAATATTCTCAGGAGGTCATGTTTTAAGATATTTGAATCATATAATATCTATATCATAAGTCTTGAAGTCAAACGAGTTATGAAACAAAAGTCGACAAAAGTTGTCGCAACTTACGTTCATAATTTTACTTAAACTTTAGGTCAAATGTTACTAAGCTTTTGTTCTAATTTATTTGGATTAACGGGGTGGTATACCCACCAATATGAAAATCGATGAGTCTGGTTTCCAACACATTAAACTGTTTGTCGATACAACGTCGGAGTAGAGAGATATTCGCGTTACGTGAGACTGCGCAAGCAGCTCTCTATAGGACCCACATAGGTGGTTGAAATATATATGAGACGCCTTAAGCCCATTTTAACTCATTCTTTTTCACTCTCTTCAGACCTTAGATACCTAAAAACTCTCTCTCAAGGTTCTCTCATGGTCCAAGACCCAAACAAAGGGCAAACAACACAAAGCAAGTGTCGGGAATCCCGTGGCGCTAGTAAGTTTCTTGTTGTTGCTAATCTTTGTGTGATTCTAGATCGTGTGGGAGGTTGTTTTAACTGGTTTAAGTTCTGTAAAATACTCTCTCAAGTTTTTAATATCAACTCTAGGTGATTTTAAGTCTTCCAAAGTGATTCTAGTGCCGAAAAATCCGAATTGATTGCTAGTTTCGCTTCCTTGTTCTTCTGGCAACATTGGAAGGATATTTCGTGGTGAAGTAAGGTCAAATTGGATTTTTTTCTATTTGCTTAAAGGTAAGGAACCTCTTACTCTACATGTATTTATGATTATCCATATTGCGATAAAGTCGTTGAAGCTAGAACTTGTGAGATATCTATCGAAAGGCTTGTTAGTAATATTGTTGGTTGGTGGACTTTCTTAGGAGGCTTAATATGATTAGTATTGATTTCTTTGGGCTGTTTGGTGATAGTTTTAACTTGTGGAAAGTCATATAAATAGGGGAGATGCTGTATGTTTCATCGTATAATAGGTTGCGGTCGATATTTAATAGTTAGGACACTTAAACGATAACGATAGTATCATTTCTCTTATTGTAGACTATGGAGTCATGACATTTGCATAGCTTGATGTTGAGCAGTATATACAAGGTATGTGAGTCTATCCCTTTTCTTCTTTTGCACGAATCCGATTGTACATAATGTAATGAACGAGCTTCCAAAGATACTCCACTCTTAGAAGCTAGCAGTACTTATATTGTTTCCCTTCTCATGGAACGATTGATGTTGATGTTGCTTCTCTTATTCTTATGTTATCAATGTTGTTGGTACTTCCTGATTCTTATAAGATTCATGATGAAGAGTTAGTCCTAATAACGTGTATGAAGGATACCGACCTTACATCACTCCGAAAGGTTCAGAATGTGATTCCTATGAGTCCAACATGCATTATATATATGTATCTATTTTACTTTACCGAGCCATGCTATAGTCAGCTGGGTACGACACGTATTTTGCAACAACAGATCAGTTGGGTATACCGAGATCCACGTGGCCGGGTACGATTCTACCGAGGCTTATGATGGCCGAGTATGTTTTTACCGAGCCTATTATGGCCGGGTACGATATGATGATGATGATACCCATAGAGGCGTATGTTTTTAAAAGTATATATGTGTGTGTGTGTGTGTGTGTGTGTGTGTGTATATATATATATATATATATATATATATAATGTATCATGCATTTCATGTCAGTCGCTCTTAGAGGCACTCAAATATTATAGGTTGTATATTCTCCATCCCTGCTTACATTACTGTTCTTATTTATGTTTTCCTGCCTTACATGCTCAGTATTTTATTCGTACTGACATCCCTTTTATTTGTAGATGCTACATGTCATGCTGCAGGTCTTGATAGACAGGTAGACACAGCTCCCCCACCACAGTAAGCTACCCAGTTCAACGGTTATTGGCGAGATCCCTTCTCCGAACTTGCCGTGGTCTTGGTATGCACTTGTTTTATAGACATTATGGGTATGTCGAGGCCCTTTTCTGACAATATTGCAGCACTTATGTTCCTTTTGAGGCTCATAGATAGGTGTTGACTCATGTATAGTTTGGATTGCCTTGTTGGCTGATTTTTGTTGTATAGTCTCTCATGGCAACTTGTCATCTCGAACCATATATATAGCTTCATGACAGCCTTGTCGGCCCATGTTATGTATATTCATGCCATTATCTATTATTGTTGGTTGTTCATGATTCATGTCTACCATTTATGTTGAGCTCATCGGCCCTTATAGATAATAAGAAAAGTTAGATAAAATATATGTTGGTGCTCGGCAGGTATGGCTCGGGTGCCAGTCATGGCCCTCCAGTTTGGGTCATGACAAACTTGGTATCAGAGCAAGTTTGTCCTAGGTGTTGTCGATGAGCCATGTCTAGTAGAGTCTTAATTATGGATGTGTAGCATGCCATATTTATAATTAGGAGGCTACATGACATATAGGGTTATTACCTTCTTCCAGAATCTAGATCGTACGTAGAGTTGAGTTGTAAGTGTTCATCTCTAATATTCACCTTGTTTTCTTTCAGCGATGCCTTCGACTAGGAAGCAAACGATTAGTAGAAGGCTTGATACAGCTGCGGGAGAGGGTACCAGTCAGGTGCCTCCAGCCAGAGCAGGCCAAAGTGAGGCTCATAGCGAGATGTCGTCTCATACCTCATCTACTCCGTCTCCTCTAGAGGGTATTAGGCGGGACCCAACACCTCCAATTCCTCCCTCTGGCACTACAAACCATGATATGCGCAGTGTGGTGCAGTTGTTGACTAGATTGTTAGGTTCTCACGCTCAGAGGCAGAATATTAGTGCTGCTGATAAATCTATTAGTGCGAAAGTTCGTGATTTTATTAAACTATACCCTCTAGTGTTTACCGAATCAGACCCCAAAAGGAACCGCAGACTTTTATTGATCGAGTTAATCGTATACTCCGGGTTATGCACACTAGTGATATTGAGGAAGTAGAGTTGGTTTCTTATCGGTTATGAGATTTAGCGGTTTTCTGGTGTTATAATTGGGAGAGATCCAGGGGTCGGAATGCTTCTCCAACTGTGTGGAAGGAATTTTCTGAGGCCTTTCTTCGTCACTACTTGCCAATTGAGATACGACGAGCTAGAGCTGATAAGTTCTTGAACCTTCGACAAGGTAATATTAGTGTGTGAGAGTATAGTATGCAGTTTGACTCTTTAGCAAGGTATGCTCCCCGTATGGTGGCCGAGATGAGCGATAGGGTGCACCTGTTCGTGAATGGGTTGGGACCACATCTGATGAATAACTGCACGACAACCTCCTTGGTGGAAGGCATGTATATTTCTCGTATTCGGGCTTATGCCCAGACACTAGAGGACCTTAAGCGCCAACAAAGGGCAGATAGGGAGCAAGATATGGGCCAGCATAAAAGGGCAAGATTCGCAGGGTATTATGGTGACTTCAGAGGTAGTATCAGCCCACAGTCTTCGAGTAGTTCGGCGCCACCTGTAGCTAGTGCTCCTCCACAGTTTCAGAGGCCTCGGCATGATCGATCTATCTATTCTGGTCGAGGTCAGAGTTCGCGGGCATCAGGCTCACAATATCATAGGGATACTAGTCAGACAAGACCCCCAACACCCCATTATGATCAGTACGGCATGGCCCACTTTGAACTGTGCCGTCGAGGTTCCGATACGTTCTATTCTTGCAGACAGCCTGGCCATATGATGCAGGGTTGTCCTAACAGAGGAGGTGGTGGTATGGCTCAGCCAACTGGATCTATGTCTAATTCTTCCTCATCAATTCGACCTCCAGCACGGGGTTTTCGGCAATCTACAGGTCGTGGTAGAGGTAGAGGTGCAGTGCCGAGTTCGAGCGATACTCAAAATTGAACCTATGCTCTAGTAGGTCGACAGGATCTCGAGTCATCTCTGTATGTTGTTACAGTATATTGTCTATATTTTCTTATGATGTATATGCGCTGATTGATGCGGGATCTATATTATCATATGTTACACCCTTTGTGGCTAATAAGTTTGGCGTTGAACTTGAATTGATAAGTAAACCACTTCTGGTATCCACTTCAATAGGAGATTCTATGATTGCTAGAAGGGTATATAGAGGTTGCACAGTGATGATTTGT